ATGTGAATTTTAGAAGCAATACGCTGTTATTTCTTTGGTATATATCTGGCCATGTATGTCGCATCTACTTCTTCCACGGGACCAAGGCCAGGATAGAGAACAGCAAGCCTGAGTGGCACTGTGTTGGCTACAGAACTTGCTTCTTGGTGGTTCATAGTACAATACAGGACTCTTGTCAATGATGGCGAAGGGAAGGTTTTGCTTTTGCTTCACAGCGTGTGGGCTGCAGAAGAGAGGCCTGGGAATGCCGGACCCAGCTTGCTTTTCCCCTTTCTCCAACCTGATTGCTGATGGACCTGAAGGATGGTCAGCGCTCAGAGATATGTCGAAGGATGGAGCCAGAGCCCTGATCACACCCCAACTACAACCCACCCTAGAGTTCGCCTTTCAATGAGCCAATAAATTCCATTTGTTTGTTTGTTAGCATTAGGCTTTTGTTATTCGTAGATGAAGATATCTTAGTAAGACAGAGTGTTATGCTGCCTCAAGAAGAATTTCACAGAAGTGCTTTAAGGAATAATTTCTGGAGTCACTTTATATTGGATACATCAAAAATCATTGTAAAAAATGTAATTGTGATGTTTAATAACAGGGAACAGGAAGCTAGGAAGAAGAACAATTATACTGGATGACGGAATCAAGACATAAAAACATATGATAGGCAGGAACCCTCTGCTAAATATATTACTGTGAAATTTAATAAGAATGAATCCACCATGGATGGAGCAATCTGCCTTCGCTACATGAGTGAGAAGAGGCAAAAGTTAACCAGCACTGTTGTGAACCAAAACCACCCATGCGGTTTCAGGCTATACTCTCTAGACCATCTCCTCTTTGTTCTTTAGCTCATACTTTTAGCTCAGTTCTAGGTTTCAGACTTTAAAGTGGACCCAGACAAACTGACACTCGTAGCAGAACAGGCTGAGGAAGACATTTGAAACTGTATCACATGAGGAATAGTGAAAGGGAAGGCAGACATTTGTGATTGACATCAGTGCTGACAGCCAGAATAATGGAGAACCGGTGACTAAGCACTTATACATTATGCCATGTAATCCTCACAACCACTTACATGAGAGATACTATTGCCTCTGACATGCAGATAAGGACACCAAGCTCTAGCAAATAACTTACCTGAGGTCACAAGTGCTAAAACCATGGAGTTTTAACCACAGGAGATGATTTTAAGTGATAAACAAGACGTAGTTAAGTATTTCAAGGATCATTAGGAGGAAGAAGAAAGATAAAGATATGTTTCAGTGGCTGTGGGTTACAGAACTAAGACCAATGGATAGAAGTTACCAGGACACAGATTTCCCATTAGCTATAAAGCCATCTGTCCTCTCTTCTTCAGCATTTTCTCGATGCTGCCGTCCTCATTTGTACTGCAGGACTTCAGCTGACCTGTCCCATAGTAGTCCAGTTAAACTCTCCCTGGCCAGACAAGCAGTTCTTCCTCAGCCCTCGCCTTCTTGACCTGTTCTTGTGCCTGCTTGCTTGACAAGCCCAGCATGCTTGGACTGCACAAGAGCACATTCTGTTTCTACTCCTCTGGGCTGCTTTTCCCATCTGTCTTGGAACCCGAGTGTCTGACACAGCCTTGTCCTAGCACCTGATCTTTGACCTGTTTTTCTGGTGACTCCAGCCCCTGCATATGACTTTGATCTTCATCCATTCATTCATTTATGCATACAGAACTGGAGTAAAGGCCAGAGGTACAGGGGCGGTGAGAGGATTCACCAGAGACAGAGTGGGGAGCAGAACAGGCAGATCAAGGAAGTACACTGCTGAGGGGAGCAGCGGGAGTGTCAGGAGATGTCTGCAGCACCATGTGGGTCACCTCCATGGTGGGGATCAAACTCCTACTAAAGTAGCTGTGGCCAGCTTGCAGTGCTGCATCCTAACCAGTTGTGCCACCAGGGAGGCTGACTTTGATCTTAAACAGTTTTCATCCTGATTTCCACCTCTCCTTTGCCAATGATCCATTTCTCATCATTAACTCAACATGGCCACCAAAACCAGACTTGCTTGATCCCTCAAAGGGCTCTGTGCCCTAACCTCCCCTTTTCTGTTGATGGCAGCCTCACTGCCTGGCTCCCCAGGTCTACCTTCTTTCCTTCTCCTGCCTGAAAATCACTTACTGATCCTATCAACTTGTCATTTAGAGGACTTCTTGATCTTCTCCAGGCTCACTGCCCCCTTCAGAGGATTAGTCCTTGTTACGTATCTCCAAGTCTCTAACCACTCTTGTCACTGTAATTCAAATCTCATTCCTTGTATAAGAACCAATGACGGTTCCTTATGGCCCATCAAACTGGGTCCATTGATTCAGCCAGAATCAATCCTGGCAGCTCTCCCCAGTCACCCTAGGAGGAGCCCAGCCCCATCTTGCTGTTTGTGGGCTCTTTTCTTCATGCCTTTACTCCCTTCCTGAGAACAGTGTTATTTGCTGGTTCAACTTTAATTTTCTTGGGCCTGTTGTGTGGCTCACTTCTCCCTTGCAGTAATCACTTCCTCCTCAGCATCCCTTTATTCTAGTGCCCTGCTGAATTTCACATTTCTAGTACTGATTAGAGACTGTTCTAATTTCCCATTTTAAAAAGTATCCTAAGTTCCTCAAAGTAAATTTTAGATCCAAGGCCACACCTTGCATGTGTCTTGTCACGATAATATCCAGCACTGCACTGGTCAGGTGGATGCCTGCTGACTGAGAATGGAAGAGAGAAAAGGTTGACAACTTACTAAACTCCCAAATACAGCAATCTCTGTACTGAATGGAAGCATCGGCCTTATTTGGAGATAGGTCAAGGCCAAGGTCAAGAAGTTAAAGCATTTTTCCCAAGGTCACGTGGCTGAGACTTGGGCCCAGGGTCTGCACACTCACCACTGTACCGCATGGATCACAGAGAACATTAGTCCCAATTCTGTGCTCTTGAGAACCAGTAGCACCCAGCATCGTCATATGTGCTAGGAAGCCCCCTTCACTCGCTTCTCCCCCAGAGGTGGGGATATATGAATGTGATATTTAAGGAGGCAACCTCATCATTGGCCATGACTTCACCAGGGAGGGTGGGCCAGTGACCTTGGAAGGTCATTAGTTGAAAGTATCTTGCTTAATATCAGTAGTTACAAGACAATAGTGAAGGAAGTCCTTGTCCATTTTGTTCTCTCTCTTTTTTTTTTAAGATTTATTTATTTATGATTACAGAACTGGGTACAGGCCAGAGGTGTGGAGGGTGAGAGGATTCACTAGAGACAGAGTGGGGGGCAGAACAGGCAGATGGCCTGAAATACACTGCTGAGGGGAGCAGCGGGCAGGTTGGGAGAGGTCTGCTGCACCATGTGGGTTACCTCCAAGGTTGGGGATCCTGGGGATCGAACTCATGCTGAAGTGGTTGTGGAGAGCTTCTTGTGCTGTGCTTTAATCCGTTGAGCCACCAGGGAGGGCCCTTGTTCTCTAACTTTATTGAATTTGTTAGAGTGATTCAGATGGGGTTTCATAACCTGATGAACTTTCAGTATTTTATACCTTCATAGGGTAGATTTTCTTTATGTCTATTTTCTTTTTTTTAAAGATATATTTATTTATGCATACAGAACTGGGGTACAGGCCAGAGGCTCGGGGCGGTGAGAAGCTTCACCAGAGACAGAGTGGGGAGCAGAACAGGCAGATCGATGAAGTACACTGCTGAGGGGAGCAGCGGGCGGGTCAGGAGAGGTCTGCTACACCATGTGGTCACCTCCGGGGTATTGAACTCATGCGGAAGTGGCTTTAGCTTCTCAGTGCAGTGCTTTAACCTGCTGTGCCACCAGGGAGGGCCATGTCTATTTTCTTTATGACCTGCTCTATTTGAAGCTATGGAGAGTGTTGACAAAAAGCATCTATCTCACTCTTCTTTTATTGGCCAGTGACATCTGACTAACAGATCTATGATTTTACTCTAAAAATAAAGTCATTGATGTTTCATAGTATTAAATAATTATATTACTTTTGGAATATTAGCTTGCTCTTTATTGTACGGTAAAAAGAAGTGTTAATTCAAGTGTTGGTTTTTTTAAAAGACATGTTTATAAAAAGATGACATTTGGAGAAGCTAATCCTTAGGGCAGAAGTAAAAGCCAAAAGCTAAGAATCATAACTGACCAGTCACTGGGGTCAGAGGTGACCCTGGCTGAGCGTGTCTGGACATTCTTCGTGGTTTTTGGAGCAAATTTTGTATTTGGTGGCAAAAATGAAAATTTGTTATAAAAGTTGCAGTATTATTTTCTCAGTGTTTTGTAATTTTATACAGATATTTTAAGTACTTTTAAGTACCAGCTCTATTTAAAGAGAAGTTGTAAATGGTCTCTACGTTAAAGATAACCTCTATTTTTTAAAAAGGCATATAATTCTTCTATTAGTCTCCCACGACTTTTTTATTTGGAATGTAAATATTTGTCATCTGGTAACTGTTTGAATTTATCTTCAGTTTTATAACATTTCAAATACTTCAGAAAACAAATTTTCAGAGGATATACATTTAATTTTTAAATGGAAACAGGACACACTATGATTTTGTAGAAAAAGCGCTGGATTGGAAATTATGAGACCCAGCTTCCAGATTTGAAGCTGGTACGTTCAATTCGGGAATCATCGGGTTAGAGAGAGAGAGACAGGTCCCTTTGGTCTGTTCAAACGCTAGACTGTGACTCGGCAATGGGCGTCCTTTCTCATTGTAATAGTGACCTCTTGTGGTGGATATCCTTAACCCATGTTCTAGTTTGCAAAGTAAACTTTGGCTTCTTTTTCTTGCTTCTAGTACCTATATTTCATACTAGAAAGTCAGTCTTGCTTGTTCTAAACAGAGAAATTTTGGAGATCAGATATTGATTAAAAGGGGAGATGGAGCACCAGATCCCATTTTATACACAGTTCTGTGTGGCTTCTCCAGAAACTGCATGTTGAGAAAGAGAGATGCCTTGGTGTTTGTGCTGAGTGCTGTGCCTTCTCTTCCTTCTAGGGACCAGGGAGAGAGGCGCACGAGGTCCTTCTCCTGTCCGGGCAGCTCTGACCTGAGCAGACAGGAACCAGAAGCAGGTGAGGCCCTGTGTTCTTAGGGCACCCCTCCTCTTTATCTTCAGCATTTCCATTCATAAGAAAAACATGTGCACTGCAGATGCCTAATGTTGGCACACTGAAAATTTCAGGAACTTTGTCCGCCATGGTCACACATTAACATTTATTTTTATAAGTCTTGCTTCTTTTCACAGCAGTCTTATCATCACCCAGCTCCGGATCTTCTCCCAGGCCCTGTCTCCATGACCACACAGCTCATTTTATGATAGGAATCTGGAAAGGTGCAAGACTTAACATCAGCATCATTCTTCAGCTTAAAATTTAAGTTCAAAATCACAACTCACTTAAATGAAACTAGATTAACTATATGAAAACAGCCCTTTGAGGATTTAAACTACTGTACTGAGAAAATGTGCATCAATATCAACCTTAGGCTGGAAATGATACAAGAGGGCTTTTACAAGGGAATGTAACATAATCTTGAATGAAGTGAATACAAGCATGACTTATATGGAAAAAATTAAGTTGCAAAGGCAAAGATCGGTGTTTTTTATGGCTACGGATCTATATGGCAAACAAATAAAATCGGTGTTTGGCCAGGGACATCGGGCTAACAGATCTATGATTTATCAAGCTTCATAAAAGTGCCCACCCAGTTTTGAGTGGTGCAAGCCTTGGAAGGTGAGAAAGGGGGAGGTGAGTAGAAGGAGGCACACAGAGGCCATCAGTGGTGTCTGTGTTGCTTAAAATAAGGAAGAAGAAGAAAATAGAGTTAATATTTGACTACACTACTTGTGGGAACACAGGTGCGTCTTCTGGTCTTCCAACTTTCTTTGTACACATAAATTTTATGAAATCAAATTAGTATTAGGCTCAAAGATATTATCTTCCAGACTATTTTCTTATCCATAATGGAATTTTTGTAGCTAATGGGAATTTCTATAGCGCTGAGAAAAGTCTTAGATTTCCAAGTCAGCATTGTTGCTAAGGGTTCTACTTTTACGTGCTAAAAAAATCAGCCAATAAACATTGTGTGAAGGTTTTGTGTCCAGAACTCAGAGCTGTGGTTAGGAACTATAACCACTGATACAGCAAAATCTTCAAAACATGCTGTAATTTCTGCTTGACTTACCCAGTTTCCTGTTGAATCATAATTTTTATATTTAGCAGGCTGAATCTAGATGAAAGTGCTCTCTAAAATATCAGGTGGTTGCCCCAGACTGAGACAAACTTTATTCACTTATTTTCTGTGCATCTTAAAAAGAAATCATATGATTCTATGCTTTCATTTCTAAAGCTCCCCAGGATTAGAGTATAAAATGGGATTTTTGTGGGAAGCAGAGATGGCGAGGTTTGTGGGGGGTACAGATGTGAACAGGTTCTGGCTAGACACAGCTGCTTACCAGGGCTTCCCAGAAGAGCAGAGAGCACAAGTCCTCATACAGTGTCTGGCTGACCTCTATACGGAAACGAAACACCCTAGAACCATGCAGAAGTGTCCTGTGATTTCTGGTCCTAAGTCGGTGCTTCTGGGTAAACATATGATCAGTCACTTCTGTCCTAAGAAGTAAGTTGAATAGTCATGGTTTCTCAGAGAGCTCATTTTTTAGCTAGCACATTGCGTAGAAGGCCTATGGGCTGACTTGAACTTTTTGGACCTCATCTCTGTGCTTCTAGTAAAGTGAGTGTCATGAACATCTGTGACTAAGTGGTCAAATTTATTCTGACTTTTCATTTGATGTATATTGATTTTATTCACATCCTTTGGACTTTGGCTATGTCAGGTACCTGGGACTATGAGCAACTATTTTTTTTATTTTGCTGCTAAAACATTCGTGCTTACTCTTAGAATCCATTTCCCTCAGTCATCAAAATTAAAGCAGACTCCTAAAAGTAGTAATTCAAAAGGTAGACTTGGTGGTCCACAGTCTTGCAGTTCTAAATTCCAGAGCTCTGGCTTCCTAAGTGACATGGCCTGACCAGAAGTGATGGGGGCCTGTGAACATCTCTACTTCCCTTGTGTGAATATTACTCTATTTCACAACAGGGTGCTGTCGAGAGGATGCTACTGGGGTGGCCTGTAAACCACAGTGCACGTCCTGTATCACCTCAACAGAATTAAAATTTTTTCTATTTCCCAAACTACATTTGGCCTCACAGCCCTTCCATCAGGGCTGCAAATCTATACTGATACAAACTGACCTGGTCCTAAAAACAATTCAACTGTGTGTTTTATGGTGAATTCCTGCTGATGGGGTAGAACCCTTGGGAAAAAAAAAAAAACTGACGGAACCCACAGTGCATATCCGTCATTTGTTGGCAACACCTATTTATGCACAATAAGTATCTATTTCTAAATAGAAAGTGCTCTTCATGCCATCCTGTGCATGCCTTCATGCCTCTTCTGGCACTAGGGTTTGGATAAAAGGCAGGCCAAGGGCGCTCCCTGGTGGCACGACGGGTAAGGATGCAGCATTGCAGGCTGACAGCAGCCGCTTCAGTGCAAGTTGGAACCCAGGCCCCGGAGGTGACCCACGTGGCGCGGCAGACCTCTCCTGACCCGCCCGCTGCTGCCCTCAGCAGTGTACTTCATCTATCTGCCTGTTCTGCTCCCCATTCTGTCTCTGATGGGGACACCTGCACCTATGGCTTGTACCCCACTTCTGTATGCATGAATAAATAAATCTTTAAAAAAAAAGACAGGCCGAAACCCCCAGCCTCTGGGGACGGCTGTGTCCGGGGAGGAGTGCGTTTGGGGAAGGCCTGTGTGTTAGGTGGGCTGTGTAGCAGCTTTCCTGCAGCTTGTGCTGTCACTGCCTGTTTGGAAAATTTACTAGGTGATGTATATTTTTTCCCTTCAAGAGTAAGGTAAGTACATTGGTGGTTTCAGAGAAGACAGAAAAGCACATAAAAAAAAAAACAAACAATCCAAAATCCCAAGGCTTAAATGGCCACTGTCACCCCATTAACAGAGCAAAAGCGAAGCAACTTGCCCCAGGTCAACCTACTGAGTAGGCAGAACTGGAGTTCAAAGTCAGACAGTCTGTCCAGAACCTGTGCTCTTAATAGGCCTCCCCGGCCTGTTTGTCCCTTTTTAAAGTTAAAATAATCTATTGATAAAAATATACAGGGCACACACCTATTCACTGTTCCCTTCTGTGTCTGTGTCTCATGTCTCCTCATTGCCTCTATGATTTCTGACTCTTTATGTGACACTTTTTGGGTCCAGGCACCCCATGTGTGGACACCTAAAGGGTGCCAGGTCCACTCTGAAAGGACATGGACTCCCTTCACCCATGTGGAGTAGGTTCTCAGGGAGTGGACTCGAGAGGAGAGAGGCTGAGGAACATCTCTAGCATAGCGTCTGAGTGGCCTCTCCAGGGGTACCGCCAGCGTTTTAGATCCTGAGGTATTGCCTGTGTAAGATGTAGTTGTGATTTGTGCTTCCTAATGTAGTTTACACATCTTTCCAAAACCATCTATTTCAGCCTGTCAGTTTTCAGAGGGGGGCAGGGGTTAGAGCACAGAGGTCAATTGTAAGGGGTGAAGAGCCAAAGGACCTTGGGTAGGAAACAATGCCCTTGAGCCCCACTTTTTTTTTTAAAATAAGTTTATTTTTACATCATTTTGTAATTTTTTTTCCATCCCAATTGTAATCCCCATGGGTTTCCCATCACCGAGTCACCCGTGTGCCATCACCATAAGACCGTGCATTTCCCTCCTCACCCCCCCCCCGTTTTTGATCCCATTCCCCACTCTACCCCCACAAAATGTCTCTGGTATGTGAGCCCCACTTTTCTCATCTGAAAAAAGGGAACAATTTGGGGCCCCTTTCATAGAGTCAGTACAAAATTTAAACACAGCTGGCCGCATTTGAAGTCCACAGTCACACAGTGGTGACTCCACAGCCGTTTGCCAGAAGCATCTTCTCTGGTGACTTCTGGTCATTTTTGGCTCCATTCACTTCAGACCATGGGGGCCTGCTTAGTTTTTTGGGGGTTTTTAAAATAATATAATAGCTTGTTTTTACATCATTTTGTGCCTTTTCCCATCTCAGTTGTAATCCCCATGGGCTTCCCATCACCAAATCACCATCATCCAGTGCACTTACCACCCCCACCACCGTTTTTGATCCCATTCCCCACTCCAACCCTGTAAAATGTCTCTGGTATATAGTTGTTCATCATTATTATTATTATTTCCCCTGTTCTTTTTTACTCCTGTTATGAGTGAAACCATCCAATATTTTTCCTTTTCTTTCTGGTTTATTTCACTAAGCATCATCTTCTCCAGCTCCATTCATGTTGCTGCAAAAGGCATGTGTTTATTTATTTATTTATTTGGTTTTATATATATGTACCACATCTTTTTAATACAGTCATCTACTTTTGGAGATTTGGGTTGTGTCTTTCCTATTGTAACTAAAGATACAATGAAACGGGGCCAGGGGGTGGTGCAGGTGTCTTTTTGAATCAGTGTTTTCGTGTCTTATGGGTGGACACCTAGGAGTGGGATTGCTGGGTCATAGGGAAGCTCCACTGGGCTCACTTGTTTATTAACCAGGATGTAATATTCCTATTTTTGGATTGTTAGGAGATACTAGGCACTGGGCTTCAGAGCTTTATCTATATATTTCTTTTAATCTTCCTAACCCTCTACTCTGTTTTGCTGATGAGGCTCAGGAAGGGTAAGAAACCAGATCCCAGTCACCCAGGGTAGCCATGGACCATGCTGAAGGGGGTCTGACTGCAGCTCCATCAGCGCCGCGCACCTCAGCTGTCCCCACCCCACCCCACACACACGTCACTGTGTGGTGGCACTGGCTCCACAATGATGGGGACATTTTATTTTCCAATGTCAAGAGAGTTGCTGCAGTCCTTTGTACAAAGAAACTTCACTGAACATTTTCAAGGTCCTTATTCTTCACATAGCTATAATTTTCTGTTTCTTCTGCATTATGGGGGGGGGGGTAATGTTTCAGTTAAAAATAACTATTTGCCTTACAATAATTTCAACATTTATAAAGCTTAAGACTTTATAAAGTGCACCAATCATTGATTAATATGCTGATTTCTTTACATCACCCTTTCTGAGTTTAATTTGGGGTGAGTTCATTAGAAGACATGTAGTTCTGATTAGAATTAGTTGGATTTGGCAGGGGCAAGGGGGTGCAAATTACAATGTAATTCTAGGATATATTAATTTTAGGGATGAATAGTACAGACTTGTGATAGGGCTTCAGTTACAATTCTTTTCTCACAGCTCATTCAACTGCCCTGGGTTTCTTTTTGCAGTCTCAAAAGCCAACTTGCAAGACAAAGACACAGAAATAGAAGTAGACGAAGTCTTTTGGAATACAAGGATCGGACCGATTTTGCATGAATTAGAAAAGGGTAAAAAAAAAGAAAACAACCTTTTTGTTCTTAAATTAAAAATATCTGTAGTTATTTATAGATTCTCCACAGCCATGATATTTTTAGTACACTTTGAATAGCATTTCTATGAATATGTTCAGAAACAAATGAAACCATCTATTTACTTACCCAGTAATATATGTATTAGATCGTACATGTGAGCCTGATTTTTAGTGAGTAAAATTATGTTCTAAATGCAGCGAGAGAGTCTACTACTTCTAAAATCCCCCCTGGAATATAAATTAATTATCACCTCCTCTGCCCAAGGAAAGGCTGATTTGAACTCCCCAAGGTGCCAGTTCAATCAAGAAAGTGAAAAATTACAACAGGTTTGAGGTCTTTGAAACATCAATTGAGTGTCATGGACTAGCACCTTGGCAGGTGTGCACCTGGTTTTCTAGATCCAAGTGGATAGATTTTGTTCTTTCCAGTGGCACATACCTGGGGGATGCTGCTCTGGGAAGGAAGTGGCCTGGGATGTGCCCAGACTTTGCCCAGCTGTGAGGTCCACAATGGACAAGTGTCCGCAGAGGGGACTGTGGCAAGCATGCATGGGTGGGGGGAGGGTGATGGCCCCACCTCCTCTCGCTGGACATCCCATCTCTGAAACTGGACAGCTCCTCGAGCTGCAGTGTGGAGCCTGGCCGATCCAGCCACCCGCATGCAGAGCACAGTAGGTCCTCTCTAGGGTGATGGAACAAGTGTTCCTGCATGGCAGCCCCAGAAAGGCAAGGACAATAAATGAGTCCTCCCCAGCCACCAAGCAGGGATACAAAAGACCTGCTTCTTTTTAAGGTTCAAATGACCTCACCCCTCTTCAGGGCCCTGCTGGTACTTGATAGTGTTCCTGGTTAAGTGGGGGATGGGCGCAGGTTTCTGGGCCTCAGGATGTGACCACAGGGAATCAGCTACTATCACACAGAGCAGTGATCTCGCCTGTCAGGTGAGGAGGGGTGGGCAAAACTAGATCAGCACCACAGTTCGCTGCAGGGAAAAACCCTTAAAATGGGAACATGATACCTTTCTCTCTCAAGAGAGTAACATTCACCCTCATATTAATGCATCAGGTTAAACTTGGGTCCTTTATTTTAGGTGATGTGTAAAAGGCTAGTGAGAAGAGCAGTCCGCCTGGCTAAGAGTTAAAACAGGAAACATTCCAGGAAGAGGAAGAACACCAAGGGGTGAATGGCTGGGAGTGCCCAGGCCTGCCTCAGGGGGGGTCTTCAGGCTGAAAGGTTTTAAGAGTTCTGAAGGGTCTGCCACCGTGGACACCAACAGAGAAAAGCTGAGATGAGTTTGGGATTTGAAATGTAGGTGAAATGCCCTTCTCAAAGGATCATTAAACCCCCAAGTCAGGCATCTCCACTGACAACTTTAAGGACAGCAGGCGGTGGCAGGGCTGGGTTCCTTGACCTTTTGAGATGATTGTCCCTTCTTTTTCTTTTTCATTTTGACAGATTTGCAGACTTACAGAAAAGGTGCAAGATAGTACAAAGAAATTCTGCATGCTTTTCACCCAATTCTGCATGCTTTTCATCCAGATCCCCCAAACATGTTGCTACATTTGCTTTATTATATTCTGCCTTCCCTGTCTCCCTCTCTTACTCTCTTTTTCTCTACATCCCAACTCCTCCACATATGTTTACATTGTGTTTCCTTTTTCTAAGCCATTTGAGACCAAGTAAAAGGCATGACACAGATATGATGGGCCATGATGCTAAGTACGCTAGCATTTTTTTTTCTTTAGAAACAAGGCATTCTGTTACATATCTGGAAATACAATACCATGCAATTATTTATTTATTTATTTATTTTAGATATTGCCAGTTAACCTCATAATTTCTCTTATAGAAAAGGAAAATACTGGACCATAGGCTCCAAATATCTGTGACGTCTTTTTCAACAAGTTTCACGTTTGAAGAGTAGAGACTAGTTCGACCCAGGCCAGGTGTTCGGGGCAGGCTTAGAGCTTGAGTGATGCTGTTTTCTCCCCAGTGCCTCACCTCAGGAGGTACCAGATGCTGATTTGGTCCATTACTGGTGATATGAACTTCGATCTCCTGGGCAAGGTGCCTATGCCAGATTTTCCTCTGTGAAGTTACTGTTTTTCCCTTGGCAATTATTAAGACCGGGAGATGAGACTTTGAGACTATATATGCTTTGTATTACTCATCAAGCTTCCACCCAATAGTGTTAGCCATTTGAGACTCTATAGCTCTTAGATTCAGTTCATCTTCTGAAGCTATGTGGCATTTATAACACACAACTGGTATAAAGAAGTAATTTGATCAATGGCCTTTAACATTTGACCCTCGAGCTTTCTTCTTTAATTTCGTTTAAGCTTAAGTTTAAGCAGCTACTCTTGTCTAGAACCAACCAGACTAAAGAGTTTGTAGGTAGACATACTAGAAGAATGCCCGCTAAGACCATCCACTGCCACTGACAGAAAGTGGCCCCCGACCCAGATTTCAGGTTTGTGAAGAAACTGCCAGTCACAGAAGAATAAAACAGCAAAACAAAAGTGTGTCTTACAATAGAGCTCAGGTTTTCCCCTTTATTTAAAGTTAGTCTAAGTCATTTCCCATCAATTCATTTATTTGAGCACATAACTGAAAGGCATTGAAGGTTACTTTGCTATTGAGGTTAAAAATTTTTTCTTAGATGTTATTGTTGAAAAGAGCTAAAAATGGCCTGAGTCATTTCCTTCTGCAGGCTTACTTCCTCTGTGCAGGCTTTTAAGAGCACATTATGGTATTTATTTAAGATTGGTTTCCTACTTTTAAATTTTGCAATGGGATCTATCAGAGAGGATATTTTTCAACCAAATGCCTTCTCCCTTGAATTCTTACATGTGTCCTCACGCTCCACTCTGTGCCCTTCTCTTTCTCACAAGCCTGTTGGTAGGGTGGCCACTTTAAAAAGACTGCTTCCCTCAGATTGTTGATATGAAGTAAAATGTTCTAGGTCTTCCTGTTTCCTAAGTACAGTCTTCTTTTTCATCCTCTTCTTGTCTAATAACACTTCCCAGTGAAGTGTTGGCATCTGGAGATTTCCCTCCATTGAGCCCTCTTCCACCTGTTTCTCACTGAAAAATACTGAGCATTGTTCTTAACAACAGATACATTAATACAAATGTGTATTAAACTCAATTACAGGTTGTCAGCACAGTGTTACTGCAGCATAGCCCCTGGTTCCTACTCAGCGAGCATGACATCTGTGGAGGGTCTGGGCCCATCACACAACATACCACAGACACACAAAAATAGCAACGTCAGGCAGCGGCTTTGGAATGTGGCACAGGGCATCTTTTCTGGAGGAGCCAGAACAGAAATAGAGTCCTGAAGGACCAAAAGCTGTGGAGACAAGGATAAGCCAGAAGAACTGCCAGCAGGGGCCGACAGGAGACACAGCAAGTAGTGTCCTCACACCAGATTGAGCATAGAGCTGGGGGTGGGAGGAGGCAGTGGAACAAGGGAGCCCGCCTGACATAGGCACAGCTCCACTCCAACCCTTTGAAAGACTGTGTTCTAGATAAGCTGACTGACGGTAAATAATTCATGATAAGAGGTGGCTCAGGAAAACGAAAAAGAAAAAAAAAATCAGGTAGCTGGAAATAATGAAAAGGAAAAAACATAGCTCGGGAATCTGGAGATGTTGGCGGTAAGACTTAGGGTATTTACTTACGCTGTCTGTGTTTGACACACCTGAACACTTGACCTTAATTAGTAAGTGCCGCTTTGCTTTCTTTGCTCTGACAGAAGAAAACATTGAAACGGTCTGTGCTGCTTGCACACAGCTCCATCACGCTTTAGAGGAAGGAAACATGCTTGGAAATAAATTTAAGAGAAGAAGTGTTCTCCTGAAGACTCTCTATAAACTAGTTGATGTTGGCTCAGACTTGCTCAACCTTAAACTTGCAAAAATTATCCTAGCAGTAAGTTTTTCTTTCCTCTGGTCTGGTAGATTTTGTAGCACATATACGCTTTGTTTAATGCTTTATTTGTAACTATTACAAAGATGATTAGAAATGTAGTATGTTCAAGAGGATCTTGAAAAAAAAAATTAAGGTCTTAAGCCTGCACACCAGTATTTGACTAACTACTAGCTAAGGAGCTAAGCTGAGTACACAGAAAGTATTCAAGGAAACTCTCACATTTGAACTGCAGGTAGATTCTTTTAAAATATGGGCAGTGAGCAAATACATTCAAAACAGGTGCTCAAGCAACTTGCCTGGAGGTCAGTTTCTGTCAGGTACTTGATTCTGTCTCACTATTTAATAAATAACTGACAATCACTTTGGCCATGGACACCATGGCCAGGTGCTTTAGGAAACAGAAACAGCTGCGTGTAGTCATGGGAAGGTGGTCAAGGAAGGTTCCTTGGGAGGTGTTAGAAGAAAAGGCCACACACCAAATAAAGTTCACAGAAACCTGCCTCAGACAAATGATATCATTGTTTGAGGGGAGCAGTTTGTTGTCACAGCCATAAACAGTTGGAGCCAAAAGATAAGACACAATTAGTATAAAACCTTCTGAGAGCACCGCTAAAACAAATGAATGCAGCGTTGTTTACCTGGTTTTCATAAAAGTAAAAGCTATTAGGTTAACACCCATAATTCAAATAATTTGAAATCTTCAGGGGAACAGTGAAGGTGATGGCATCCTTGTGGCATAGTAAGAGTGCCCACTATTTCTTATCTGATGTCTTTCTTAAAGGCAGAACATTGGATGCGGTTTTTCTGGAGAAGCTGTGTTCTAATTCAGTTGTCTGCTGTCCAAACAACTTACCCTCTTTTTTTTTTTTTTTTAAGATTTATTTATTTGTGCATACAGAACTAGGGTACAAGCCAGAGGTTCAGGGGTGGCAAGAGGCTTCACCAGAGACAGAGTGGGGAGCAGAACAGGCAGATCAAGGAAGTACACTGCTGAGGGGAGCAAGGGCGGGTCAGGAGAGGTCTGCCGTGCCATGTGGTCACCTCCGGGGCAGGCGGGGATTGAACTGATGCAGAAGTGGCTTTAACTTCTCAGTGCTGTGCTTTAACCCGCTGCGCCACCAGGGAGGGCCTCAACTTACCCTCTTTTTAAAAATAATAGTGTGACTTGGAAAGCAGGGTGGTTTCAGTAGTATTTTAATCACCTCTAGCTGATGATAATCGATCCATCAGCTTTAATTAAATTATTTTTTCTAAAAAAAGCACAAACCACAGAGAGGATTTAAAGTCCAAAAATGTAAGCAGAGATGAAAAGATCTGGGCATGGTTACTGAGTCCCCGCTCCAGCCTTAGTGGCCCGGGAAAGCCCCAGAGTGGACAGAGGGCTCTGCCTGGAAGTTGCCAGAGCAGGACCCCAACTGCCAGCTGCTGGGGGATTTCCTGTGGCTCTAAACCTGGTTCCTATACATTTTGCTCCATACCAAGGCCCCCTGCTCTCCCAACAACTCTCCTCCCAAAACAAAAAAAAAAAGAGAGAGAGAGAGGAAAGAAAACAAGAGACAGGAAGGAAAGAAGGCAAAAATGACATGGATTTATTAATGTTTTGCAGAGAAAGCATTGTCTTGTTTATTAAAGGTGCTGGTCAAGTTCATTATATGCATAGCACCATTTAACTATTTTAGGGCAAAAAGCTAAGTGATCTGCTATGCAGGGAGCACGCCCTGACCTAAACTTATGATTAGATAAAATCCTGTGGCTGTGTCCTTGCTGAAGCTGGGACAAGACTCACCACGCTCAGAGGGCAGAGATAGCTGGGAGGCTTCTGATGAGCGGCAGGTATCACCAGACCCATAGGGCCCTTCAAAGTCTTCCAGTCCAACCTTAGAGAGAAGCCCCCTTTTCTCTAAGTTTCCAGGAAAGACATTAAGTTTATCTTAGGCCTTGGTGATGGGGCACTATATAAATATTTAAGAGGTCACATCATTGAAAGATGTCCTGGTGGCGCAAAGGGTTAAAGTTCAATGCCCTGCCAGGGAGGTGGCCCACATGGTGCAGCAGACCTCTCCTGTCTTGCCCGCTGCTCCCCTCAGCAGTGTACTTCATCATCTGCCTGTTCTGCTCCCCACCCTCTCTGGCGACTCCTCTCATGGTCCCCACACCTCTGACCTACACCCCAGTTCTGTGTGCATAAACAAATCTTTTAAAAAAT